ATCAATAATCAGTATTTTCCTTTAATATGATTAAACGTCATTTTAACTGTCATAACAATAGTCAAAATCGCATCAAGTACTTCAGATTTCTCAACTTTTAGGCAAAACAGTCTGATCTTTTTGGATGTATTAGTTTGACACACTTGTAATACTAATATTGTTGGCAATCCAATGTGGATTTTCCAAAGAAAACTGAAATTCATGAGCAGGAAACATTCATGAACAATTCAACAGTTGGGAGGCAAAAATACTTATTCTCGAAGATATTGACCTCGGCAACAATAATGAGGAGGGTAGAAGAAGATCTTAACAAAGGATATATACACAGAATATATCAAATGGCTTGATTTGCAAGAATCTCTTCTTAAACAAAATGAGATTGTAATTCCAATAATTTTGACACTATTTTAAGAGATAGAAGGAGAAGACTTCAATTGCACAAATCAAGAATGATAAAGATTGGTTGTTAAAAAAGTTAACGACCGGATTAGTCGTTAGAGATTTTTCTATTGACCACATAAACCCTTTTAATGGCAATAACAAATCCGATAATTTTAATTGGTTTTTAGCTATTAGATGATTGTATAATCACTTATATATTAACAACTACTTTTAAGTCTTTCACCTGTCTACCCTTCCCTGCTTTAATCAAGTCTTCCTCTGCTACATAACTTATTTTCATATGAGAAATCAAACATTTAGATATCAATTTAAGAATATAATTTGAATGGTAGCAAAAAATGAAAAATTTAAATGTAAAGAAAGACTTGAAAAAACATAGTATGATAAAGAGTTTTATGCTCTCTAAAACAAATTCAAATGTACAATATTGTCAATAGAAGACAAAAGTGTAAGAGACTTATTTATAGTGATTTCGTGAAGAGTTAAAAAAGTCATTCAACTTTAATGGTGATTTCTTGTAGAATTAAAAAGTTATTCAACTTTAATTGTGATTTCTTGAAGAGTTAAGAAGTCATTCAATTTTAAGAGTTTTACACTTTAGGACCTTTAAAGTTACCTTATTTGATTGGATTGTGATAAAGAAAATCTAAGGAGCTATTTTAAAGATTAGATGTATTCGAAAATATAATTCTTTTGGTGTAAGGGAGATATAGTAGATATTCTCTCGGCGAAAATTTACCTTATCAAAAGGAATCTGTTATGTATTATTTAATTGAAAAGTAGGTTGATTTTGTAAGATTTTGGTTGTCATAATGGTACCAATGATTTGATGAAACTTTCTTTTTTCTTTTTTAGTGTCGAAAGAGAGTTTGCATTGCAAAAGATCTCATAAGTCTGTTACCTGATGAAGTTTTGTTTCATATGCTATCTTTTCTTACTGTTGAAGAAGCAGCTAACACAAGTGTCCTCTCAAGGCAGTGGCTATTTCTTGCAAAAGATCTCATAAATCATAAATCGGGTTTCATTTGATTTGAACAAATCTGCGCCCCTTATGAGATTGATAAATGGATTGAATTTGCATTTTCTAGGAATGTTCATAGACTAGAGTTAAGACTTATTAAAGGGTGGAGAGTACATTCATAATTTTGGTTACATTTATACTTTCCAGCATGGCTCCTTGGTCTTGGTGATTCTGCTGACTCTTCTTCTTGCATACCTCATTCTAATGACCTCCAAATACTCTCACCTGTCAAACAGAACTTCAAGTCTCTAAAAGTGCTTCTATTTAAACAGTAAATGTCACGGGCAAAGTTGTTGAGTTCTTTCTACACAATTGTCCATTTCTTGAAACAATGGCAGTTCATGGATCAGGAACTTTGGTAAATTTGGAAGTTGTTGGTCCGTTACTCAAGTTGAGACACTTGGAGATACTGTACTGCAACAAAGTAAAATCACTTAAAATTTGTGATACAAACCTTGTAACATTAATGACTTCGGTAGGAATTAAATTACTGCTTAAGAATGTCCCAATGCTGGTTGAGGTGAAAATTTCTAGTGCGGCATTCAACTATAATTGGAATGACTTATCCTCTTGTCTTTCCTGTGTTTTCTCTCAGCTCGTGGTCCTTCATTTAACTACTCATTCATGGGTTAGTGAACAAAATTTTGTGTCTATCTTAATTCTCAAAAAAAAAAAAAATTGTCTATCTAACTGGTGCCTTCTATTTAGTTGGAACTTCTGCAGGAGAAATTGGAGCATTACAATTTTCCTCAACTTAATAAGCTCAAGAAATTTGTCCACACTACATGCGGACAGAAAGACAGGAGTCTCTTAGGTTGCACGTCTATAATAAGGGCTGCTCCCTAGTTGAAGGAATTTGAACTACAGGTAAGTATCATGTTTTGAGTTCTTTGGCTGGTACAAGAGTCTGATTTATTCGTTGTAGCAATTATGGTTCATGTAGTTACTTATGCTATTTCTTGAGTATTTAGTTATTCCTGAGTTGAAACAATTGTGGTGAGCTGAACTTTGATGGATGATACTTATGCATTGTTTTTAACTCACTTGACTCTGCATATATGAAGTCCCTGCGCTTACCTAGGGGTCATTTTTCAGTAGGTTCTAGACAGCTGTATCGATGTTGAGCGCTTATTTCTTATCGAAAAAAGAGCGTAGTACTCTCATCACTCAGCCAATTTCTTATATTCTTTTACTGAATTACTGTGTGTCCGAGAGCTTGTTTGGTATAGCAGAGTTTTGGTATTGTGAATTCCGTTGCCCAATGCATTCCTCCAACATCTACTGTATCCACCCCTTTACCTGGCTAGGTAAGCTAGTGAAGGAGGCATGCACCAGAGTATCCATCTCATATCTTGGCATGCTTTGCATTTAGCAACGTAATCCATAAATTATTAAACCATATGATTCAGGGACTAGTTTTTATTTGAACATCTCATACCTTCCATGCTTTGCATTTAACAACACAATCCATAATTGTTCTGGTCTACTGTGTTGTATCTAAACCATTTCAACAATAAGACCCTTTTTCTGAATATCCAATTTTTTTGTGCACAAATTGCTCTTGTTAGAGCATATATATTTTTAGGCCATTCTACTCAATGTATTCTCCTTCGCTTTGGATCAACTTGCCACATCTTCTTCCTTATTTTATAAAAATGTCTTTACACCCTTTGGCATAGGCTACAGGGACATTACGTTAGTAGGATAGTGTCAATGACACTATACGTGTCCCTCCCCCCACCCCCAAAAATAAAAAAGACGGATATTGTTGCCCACTCGCTTTCCTTTTGACCCTGTGTTCGTTAAGGAGGCGCAAACTGCAAGAAATCTTGCTAAGCTCCATCTTGAAGGTGAAGTACCTCCGGATATGGAGTTGGTCATATTGTAATATGTAACATGCATAGAACCTGGTGCAATAATCCCAATGAAAATAGTAGTAATATAAAGAATGTCTTTGATACACAGAATGTTGAAAGAAAGCTTAGTTGTAACCGCGGCAGACACGTTTAAGAGCATACACTTAAAGTTCTCCTGAAATTTCTAATTTCTAAATGCTGAAGGTACGGGGCAAATATTTCAAAAAAAAATACAAGCAAAAATTGAAGACCTACTTTGCAATGTTCTTGCAGCTTAAGTGTCTTTAGTTTTTAAGACCTAATTCCCAGCATCAGTTTGTGGGGAATTTTCGTACCACACACCTGCATTGCTCAGCCATGACCCAGTAATAGTCGTTGGCCTTGAAGAATACTGCAAGCATGCATTATGCACGTTCGTTCCAGCCTAAACTAAGCTGGATCCAGAGCTCGCATTTGAGACATTTTGACATACACGTTAGTGCATGTGCATAAAAAAGTTTCTGCACAATCAGCTTTGTAACTCATGTGTAGGAATGTTGCACAATCCATCCTATAGGAGGAGTTGACTCAATTGTGGGATATCCGGGGGTATCACATAAGTAGGAGCAGAGAGTGGTGTTTTTAAGCAACAAATCAAAAGTTCAGTAGATATATATACTTATTATTCCTACCTAAATAACTGTAGTTAACCAAAAATAAAAGCTTCACGACAACTCAAGCAACAATATTAGTTGGTATGTAAATAAGGGGAAAATTGGGAAAAGAATCAATTCCTTTTTTTATTATGTAAATGGATGCTTATTTATAACCAAAATAATAAGGCTTGTATAACAGAGCCAAATGTCAAACACTTCATTTCACAATATTATCATTCACTGTAATACAAGAGAATAAGGAAATGAAGTTGGATTTTTCACAACCCATTATAACCTGTCCCAGCCAACTAAAGTCTGCCTTAAGAATAAAAATTCTACGCAAATCAAACAGATAATGAAACATATCCTTGAAAGGTTTGGTCCCAATTCGTCTCGTCTTTATGACCTTATCGTTAAATACAAAGATTCAACAAAAAGCTGGTTGGTAAGATCTCAATCTACACAAAACAAGAGTTTCTGGATAGCCATTTGACTTTACTTCAATCTATCTTTAAATTCAGTTTTAGCAAGTTATTTCATTCAACTATTTTACATACAGTACACTCAATGATGTACAATCCAAGAGCTTTTTTCAATAACTGCCCAGTGTTTGACTGTTGGCTTAGCTCCCAATTTTCTAGTTTCTGCAAGCAGGTAAATCCCTTTCTTGCTTCTTGCTACTTTTATACCCAAGAAGTATTCCAGCTTCCCCAAGTCTTTGGTAAGAAACTTGGTGTGTAAAAACTTCTTCAGAGAAGAAAATCATCTCTTGTAATAACAATATCATCAACATAGACAACTAAAAGAATAATACTGATAGTTGATTGTCGGTAGAATACTGAATGATTACACTAGCTCTTTTCAATCCAAATTCTTGAAAAACATTAGTAAATTTTTCAAACTTTGCAAGAGCACTGCTTTAGACCATATAAAGATTTTCTCATATGACAAACTTTCTCATAGAGCAATAAACCTAGTTGTTCCATGTATACCTCTTCATGGAAATCATCATGAAGAAACATATTCTTGATATCCTACTGCTTTCTTTCCTTTGGGTAAATTAACTAAATCCGAGTGTGATTTTTGTCTAAAGCATATATTCTCTTCGAGCATTGCATCGTGCTATCCAAAATGACTCTAGGCTTCTTTTTACTGTTTTAGGGATAGTGACAGAGACTACAGAGTCAATCAAACAACTAGATGAAGGACATAAGTGACGTAAGAAACAAAATTAGTTGTGAAATATGTGGATTTACACTGATGTGTACCTTTTTGAAGAGCATCATGGAAGACCAGGTTTTTCGAAGGATCGAGTGAAGAAGGATCTGAGAATGAAGGAATTGATGTAAGGGTATATATATCATTAATCTCTCGCCTTCTTGAGTAAACTTGAACAATTGGTGTCGTATTGGTGCAGATTGAACGGCGTTTGAAGGCACGATAGTCAATTGATGCTCAATAAAAGAATTAGAACATAGATGAACAATGTTAGATGATTGTTCAGTCACAACACGAGTAACCTGGTAGGCTAAGCACTCATCTTTCTCCCCCTGACTTGTGAAAACAGGAGGTGTATAAAAGAGTCGTGAAGTTTCTGAAAATACCACATCAAGTGATACTAAATATTTACCAAGTTCAGTAGAATAACACAATAAGCTTCAAATAGCCTCCAACAAAAAATATCAAGTAACAGTTTCGTCTCTAGTTTTCTTTTTCAAGAAAAGATAAAAGACTTATCAAAAAAGATAAAAAAAATATATATATACTTGTACTTTAAAAAACTCCCCTTTCTTTCCTATACTTTTCAAGCTTTGTATGCTCCGCCTCCTCCCTAAAGATCGCCGAAAACTGATTTTCCCAAATTTTTTCTAGACTCTAGTCAAAGTGTCCGAATCCGACACACACCCTGCATCCATACCAGTGTCGCGTCGAGACAAGTTCGCCTGCAAAAATGAAAGAGTTCGCACAACATAGTCGACAACTCCGCCGGTGTGTAAGACTCAGAACCTTCTACTCTGGCCACCAACTTTTAGGGTTTTGTAGATCGGGGAAAGACGGTCCTCCTTAAGTTGGTAGTAGAAAACTAAATTTTAGGTACAAAAATTGCATTCACGTACGTGACCAAATCCCGGAGCTTTTTGTCCTAACTCCGACAAAGAAGATATAAAGTTTTGCTTCCATGTAAAATACAGAGACATTGGTTCAATTTCCCTTAATATATTGTTCCAATAACAACAACTATTTGAAGGTATACAAGTAAATCTATCTTAGGAATAAAAATCAAGTAAATCTATCTAAGGAAATAAAATTTAAAAAAATCCTAAATATCTTTCTCTATGATTGTGCTACGTATTATATATAAACATGTCTAAGTAAATCCCATTAAGCTTGTAATTCCATCCACTTGAAAGATACCTGTCATAGGATAACCCAACAAACATAAAGGGAAATGCGTCTTGCATAGAAATAGGAAAATCATTCAAACCCTAGCAAACCTTTCTGCACCCAAAAGATGGATCTACGGCTTTGCAAAAGGCCCTTCCCTTGTTCAAGAGAAAGCGAGGACTTTCTTTTAGCTACCGGCCCAAACAAAAGAGATTAGCCTCTTGATCGATCGATTGATTGGATCGAAGTACGAATGGGTTGATTGAAGTCTGAGATCAGCCCAAGACTAAGGCCGGGCTGCTGGGTACAAATAAGCCAGGTAAAGACGAGTAGGCAGGGCGTTAGGCTAGTTCCAGTGGGGTACGTAAACGAGGATAGGTCCACTGTTCCTGTTCTGGTTGTTCCGAAGGTTCCCAACTTTCTCCGCTTTCCGCAACCGTAACCACTTTTCATTCCGATTACTTCATCCATAAACCTTTTTTTATTTCAAAATAGCGATACGCTCTAAAAAAGTAAAGGAGAAGCTTCCATTCTAGAAGCGGTAACTTCCCGCCTCCCTCGGGGTGAGAAGTTCCCTTCCCTTTTCTAAAATGCCTGAGGGGTCTGCTCAGCAAACATACAAAGTTGAAGAGACAAATAAGAAAATGAAAAGAGTTGAAGATCAGAGTCGAATCAGTAAGTTGCCCGATTCTCTTCTTATTCTAATTCTCTCACTTTTGCCAACAAAAGATGCCTTCACAACATCTGTTCTCTCAAAAAGGTGGGAGCATTTATGGCCTTCAATTGATAGCTTCTTTTTCTCTTGTAAAGATAAATCGCAAAGGAAAAACTTCATATCCTTTGTCGATTACGTATTAGATCATTCTACTTGTTCAAAAATTAAAAACTTCCATTTGAATTTCACCCACCTATCCAAATACGAGCAACGAGTTGGTTTTGTTGATGACATTGTAGATTTCACAATTAGCCGATGGGTTCCTACTAATGAGGTGAAAAATAAAAATAAATTATTGTTCCCAATCTCCCGATGGCTTGGTACTGCTGTTGAAAAGAATGTTGAAAATATTATACTGTTGTCAGATTCATATGAGAATGACTCTATTGACTTGCCTGACACTATCTACAAGTGTTCTTCCTTGATAACATTAGATCTCACTTGTTGTATACTTGACAAGGAAATCGTCATAGAGTGGAAGTCTTTAAAGACCCTACGGTTGAATGACATAACCTTAGATGATGACAGAATTGTAAACATACTCTCAGGTTGTCCTGCTTTGGAAATCCTTGAATTTCTTGAATTCTCCGGATTCCGTCATATGGAAATTAGTTCTTCAAATTTAAAGAGGCTTAAGTTCAAAAATCATTTGTCGTATGATAACTCTGATGATCTCTCTTTGGATATTTTTGCCCCACATGTTCAACATTTGGAGATCTCTGGATATATGTATGATCTTAGGTGTAGGCTAGTAAATGTATCATCTCTGGTCAGTGTGAAGCTTACTTTCCAAATGAACTGGACTTGGTTTGATCAAGGTCCTGATGAGCATCACGTTATAAAGACACTCATCGAAGATTATCTTCAAAAGTTGAGGAATGCAACTGAGTTAACTTTTGGGACTTGCTTCATCGAGGTATGTTGACCTTATTTGCTTTTTAATATATAGATATCAAAAAGAGAAAACACTGAGAATATAACACAATTTGACAACTTTTAAACTTTTTACATATACAGAACTCACCTGACTTTTGTAATCTTTCTGTCAACTTTATATAGTTGGATACTTCTTCTACCATTCGGCTACATTTCTAGATGGTCAAGTTTTCCATAACATTATCTGTGTACATAGGATTTTTCTTTCTTTCATTTGGTTTTGGTTTCTCGATCGTTCACTAGCTTCATTGGGATTACCACCTCAGGTACTGATGCAGTTTGATAAGATGTCACTTCCAGAATTGAAATGCAAGTGTCTAACTCTGGATTGGCATATCACAGAGCCTTATTTCTATGGAGCAGCTATCATGTTGCGAGCCTCGCCTCATGTGGAGACACTCAACATAACCATGGAAACTACTTCTGTAACTTTCTGCAACTTTTGCTCTTTTATTTGCACATCCATCTTAGGAAGTTTTACCATCCCTCCCCTTTTCCTGCATTGAATGGTGTTCCAAAATGGATGCAATCATGCAAATATGTCTTTGATTATAAACAAGAGATGTTTGTAACTAGAAAACTTCATGTTAAAAAAATTGATGACAAACTTAAGAGTTGTTACTCTTAGCTTGGTCTACCTATTCCAAGAATCATCCTAAGAGGAACAACTTCTGTAATCATTTTCCCAGAACCATTGAAGATTGGTCAATTTAGAAATTGTTCTATACCAGACACTTGTCCTATGAAATCACATTTTTTGTAAGTTTTGTGTATTATGATTTTCATTTGACTATATTCTCTTTCCAGTTGGATCTTGAGCAATGCCCATTTGAATTGGGATATTTGGCCAAAGAACATGATATTCATTTCCTGTCAAGCTTCGAGTTTCCCAACCTTAAGAATGTCAAGGTTGTCAATGCTTCCAAGATCTGCTTGAAGGAGCATCTTGAATGGGATAATGATGATCTTTTCAAACTTTCAGAATTTCTACTAAAGAATACAAAAGTTTTGGAGAAGTTCGTAATAATATCAAGGAGAAAAAATTGTAGTATCTGTTCAATGGACTGTGCTTCTCAATATTCATCTCGATTGGCTACGAAATTGGTATGTTGCCCAAGATCCTCTACCAGTTCTATGATCATTTGCAAAGAGGGAGCTTTCTGTGACTAGATTGCAAGTTGTTTTCTGTTTCAGTACCATAAATGTTACTTTATATTTAGTTTTTGATTTACTGTTGGTGAAAATCTTGAATTTTTCTATGTAACTAATGACTCTTTGTTCTTGTTATCATGTCCTTGTGACATACCAATGTTATGGTTGTTTGGTTTCTCATGAAACTTTTCTTTGTCGCATTTTAGATGTTGTGCATATGTTTCAGAATTTCTAGCAGGTTGTTTCCTCGGATTGACTAGCCATACTTTTTCTCATATGAAATGCTGTGTTTTGCAAACTCTGTCAAAGACATCAAGGTATTATTATCAGAAGGTGTTTCTACTGTTAGTTTATCACAAAGATTCTGTAGCCAACTATGATTGAGACTTGCAATGCAGTCAAATGTTTTTTTTTTAACTTGAATTTGTATTATAAGAGGGTTATGATACAGCTGTTTGATTCACCTAAAATATTAATATATTAGGTAGAGTTGAGTTGGGCTTAAATATCTTACTGGAGGTTGCAAAATATTTGTGGAACAATAGCTTATTTTATCAAAGATAAACTGCTCATGCAATCATGAAACTACTCCTTAATATAGTCCTCCAATATAGTACGAACAATTTCATTCATCACGTTGAACATGAATTTTCTAATAAGATGATCGAGAAGACGAAACAACATCATTACTTTGAGCCGGTTGTTAGTCGTTGTCATTAGCAACCGTATCATCATGTTCATATTGGTATATAAAATTATGTAATATTGCACAAGTTATGAACATGATTCTTCTTCTTTTGAGCTGAGGGTCTATTGAAAACAAACTTTTCTCCCCCACAAAGGTAGGGGTAACATCCTACCCTCACCGAGACCTCACTTTTACAATTTTTCTGGGTATGTTGTTATTGCAAAAGCTATGACAATGCTTCTGATTTTAACTAAATTTATGTACGGCTTGCCAACTTGGCAAGTCCATAATGAAAGTAATTCATTTTTGCAACTCATTTGCCCCTTTTCTGTTATCTCATGGTCATCATTTCTCTAAAGTTTTCTAATACCGAGCAAGTTAGAGTCGGCTTTATGAATCCTTTGGTCTGTTTTCTACGTAGAGAATTAGAAATGACAGCAAAAGAAGATCCATCATACAGCCACTATGATAATGCCTAATTCCTGACATTCAGTGATTGAAATGTGTTACTCTATAATAAATCATGCCAATACCAAATCCAGCAGACATTAGAGCCCCCACTCATGACTCCTCACTAGCAGGGCGGACCCACAACTAAGTCGGGGTTCACCCGAACCATAAGGTAAAATCACATATATATTTTGAAGCCCTCATTGACAAGGAAAATGAGATGGCCCAGTGGTAAATTTTTTTAAAACTATGCGTGCTGTTCAGGGTAAAACAGTTTTTTTAGTCTTTTTTTAATAAAATATGCTAAAAGTGTGGTTTTAAAAAGAATTCAAAGGTCACATCCCTTTAAAAAAAATTATCGAATTATTTACACGTTTATACTTTTATTTTTTGAACCCTGAATAAAAATACTGAATCCGACACTGCTAATTATGAGTTGTTAAATGAAAGCATCTTTGTAACATATGGTGATCTCAAAGGATCAAACAGATAAATATAATTAAACATTGTCATTGTGATGTGGCCGAATGGGCGACATCTGAGAAGAAAGAATTAATAAAAAATCACTTGCAACATATGAGTAAATATATCATCAGGCATTGTTTTAACATGTAGATCAACCAACTCACTATTTTAAGCTCCAGAGAAGTTGATGTAAATACAACACACCAAGATGCAATAGAATAATTAATGTCAATGATAAAGATTTTCACTGAATATCCAGTTGAAGACAAATAGAACGTGTGAGAAGAATTAATAAATAATCACTTACAACACATGAGTAATGATAAAAGATACCTGTTCAGAGTTTTTTCACGGAAAAAGGTCAAAAATATCCTTTTTATTATTTGATGACGGAATATGTCCTCCATTTGTATTTTGGTAAAAAAAAAAGGTCATTTCAATACTCTAGTAAAAAAAATGGATCTTATTATTGTTAAATTGGTCAAAAATGTTACAGGATATATTCAAAATTTAAAAATTCAATTTTCCCTATTGGGGTTATAACTTTATTTCCTAGTTTGTTAGGAAATAAATATTATTTTCATGCCTATATCGCTAATTACTTATCCATTTTTCTTTTTTCAATTGTCCCTAATTACTTGTTAATTTCAACAAATCAAGAAAGGACAAAAAAATACTTATTATATCGTCAATTAATTACTTTGAGAAAGTTAAAACTTTTTGAAAATCTAAGTTTTTTAACTTACTATATCATTAATTGTTTTTTTAATAAGTGTGTCAATTCAAAAGTGAATAAATAATTAGGAATATATGTGAGTACACTTTAGATGGGTTTATTTGGTTTTCAATGTAATTTATGCTTCTTTGTAGTTAACAATGAAATTTTAAGAGAATAATGATTGTTTTGTATGCGTTTGGAAAATTCATATGAAAAAGCAATTAATTTATTTGAGGAGGTGAAAAGTTGTAAAGTAATTAGAGAATGTGAACTCTAGTAGCTTAAAATCAATTATAGCGACCAATTTTGTTATCGCCGTTATAGGATTTTAACAATTGGAATAATTAATCTACAAAGGAAAAACTTGATCACATAAAAATAGAATATAACACCAAATCCGATAGTTAACTCTTAACTTTCTTTTTTTATGATGCATTAGCTCATTCCCTCTCTTTCCAAATTTTAAAAAATTCCAACTCGAAATCCCAAGAATATCATCCGTTAGACTACGATCTCTTGTCTAAATTTTGCCTGAAGAAGAGATATTACAGGCGAATCAAACAAAGATATCTTCTTCTTATGACTTAACGATTCATCAGAACTGAAAGCCTCGAGCATACCTGCTAAAAATTACCTGATGTAACCAAATGCAGGCCTCATCGTCAAAATGAGAACACCATTACACAATCATAGACTTCGATGCTACATCATATTAAAAATATGTGGATTACTGCTCATCTTATCAGGTCGAGAAAAACAAGAGTTGCAACAAATGTACCATCGAAACATTTGGTATGCCACAAGATAAGTAATTCGTTGCATAGACAAGTTACAAGTATCATGATTGCATGAGTATTTCACTAAAAACTCAATATAAGGCAACGTCTCGTGTATCCTATGGAAACTACTTGCAGTCTAATCATCATCACAAGCTCACTGTCAGTAGATAATCACACAATTCGTTGAGGATTTTGGGCAACAAAACAATTTCTCAGCCAATTGAGATAAAAATGTGGACACGCAGTTGGTTGAACATAATATCTTGCACGTTATTCCCTTTGATACCACAAACTTCTCCAAAACTGTAGCATTCTTTAACAGAAATTCTGAAAGTTTCAAAAGCTTGTCAAAGCCCTGTTTGAAATGATTCTTAAAGCACCGCTCTCCGGGGGTGTTGATAATCCTAACATTCTTGAGGTTGGGAAACCCAAACTTTAAAATCGAATTTTGCAAACCAATATCATCTCCTTTGACCAAATCTGATAACTCAAAGTGGCAGTGGGTATCTTCAAGCTGGAGAAAGAGAATTTAATCAGGACTAAATTCAGGTTAGACTCATGGATATTGCACCAAAGTGGGGAAAAAATGTTCGTAGAACCAACAAATCTTATAGGTACTTCTAAAACAGATTATGATGATTGTTCCTATCTTAAAGATTCATGCCATAAGTAACAAAAACAAAGAGTGGATGGCACCCAACTCTTTCCTTTTCAGACCTCATTTGACTCAAAGAAAGCAACAACACCAACCAATTAATGTTAAGCTTTGCAGTGACGAAAGAAAATTTCTCAGGAGGGGTGGTTAAACTCATAAAATGAATGGATTTAAAAGAAGAGAGGAAGTTACAGATTTTGTTGATATATCTATGTCGCGTCCCTCTCTGTCTAGTGCCTCCGTATATAGATTTATGTTGAGTGTCTCTACATGACTTGAAGCTCGCAGAATACCAGCTACACCATACAAATTAAACCTCTTCACATGCAACTCCAGCGTCAGATATTTGCATTTCATTTCTGGAAGTACAGTCCCTTTGAACAGCAACATGCACAGAACCTGTTGCAATGAAACTAGTAATATAAAGAATGGAGAAAGAAATAAGTATAAAACGGAAGTACTCCATGGCAACATAAGTTATGTGACATATCTATTGAATTTCTTTAACGGTATATGCAACACGAAAGTAATCAGCAGACTTCTTTATACAAGAAACTGTGGGTAAAATACAAGAAACAAAGTCAAATACAAAAATTGGCACAACCAAACATTTTGCTTCGACTCTATGAGCTAAACCAGTTCATCTCCTGCAAAGGAGCTCAAAGCATTGGATGAGTTATCTGAGCCTCAAGCAAAACTTATTCGGATTAGATCATCATCTCGGTGTGATTTTACATAAGTCTCAACTCATTTATACCGCACCCAAAGAAGAGCCTGATATCCACTTTTTTCTATTATCTTAAAGTAGCGAACCTATTCATCTAAACACTTAAGCAACAACCGACACAGAAGAATCCGTGTTTTCAGATACATGTATGGCAGATATGACAAAAAAAAATACCCGACATTCTAAAGTTGACAAAAAAGCCACAAGTTTCTGCAACAAATCCAGTTGAGTTTGTGAAATTTGTATAAAGGTTAATTCTCAACTGTCCAAGGAAAAGTAGTCTGAGATAAAAACAAACCTCTGTGAACCAAGTTCCAATTGTTAGCTCCTTTAACATTATGGAACGTTCGAAGGTAACAGCAGGAGAGGGACCTAAAAGAATTGATGATAGTCACTACAACTGTCTTCCTCAGGATCAAAATGTAGACCATAATCATCGCTGAAAGTAAGCTTCGCAGTAACCACAGCAGACACATCTAGGAGAATACACTTGAGATCATAAAAAGACCTCCTGAAATTTCCAAATGCTGAATATGCGGGGCAAAAATTTCCACACAACGAAGACTTCCGTTATTAATCAACCATTGACCATTCAGCTTCAGTGTCTTTAACTTTGAAGACGTTAATTCCAAGCGAAGAGGACCATTAAGCACAACTAAATCAAAAAAATTCCATATCTTTTCCAATACAGGACATCCTGACAATATTTTTCCAATTTTGTACTCATCTATCAAAAAATTCCCCAATTTTAGGCTCTATAGAGACTTCCATGCTATGACTGTGTTGTCAAAGTTGAAACGACCCAAAACCATTGCTAATGTTATCAATGACGAACATTCACAGAATGATTGAGTCAATGGAAAAGGTGAATTGATTAAATCTAGTAGAAGATGTTCCACTTTTCTAGTAGCAAGCAAAATTAACCCATTCGGTGATTTGCGATCGGCTTTCAACATCGCAATAACTGTAGTCGAGTTCGAATTTATGTATTTTGGGAGAAACAGAACGAGATAATACGTAGTTAACAAAAGATGAGAAATTTTTTCGGTAATTTTTATATGCAAAACTGAAGTTACGAATGGAAGTCCAGAGATAAAGTCACCTTTTAGCTAGAGAAAATACAAGTTGTGTATTCATCCCTCACTTTCAATTTGAAGATTGCGAGCTTCCTAGGGGAGGGGGGAGATTTTTTTTGTCTTATGCTAATTCTTTTGCAATTTTTATATTTTAGTTTGGTTGGCCTTTTTATAAAATCTGCATTAGTTTATGGGGATTGAACTAAAATTTGCAAGTTTTTGTAATTATCTGCAGTTGAATGAGTAATTCTCCTCCTTCATGAATAAATTTCAATAGAAAAATTCAATTTAATTCAAAATTTAGGATTTACTTAAGCTTATGAGGGTTTTTGTTACTAAAAAAAAGTTTTAAACATTTATATGGTCGTTTTCTCATGTGATGAATCCAGAGAGAACTGTTAGGTTATCCTTTATTGAAAATTATAGAAGTTTGAGGTTTTCGTCACCTAGAAATTAATTATTTGAAATTAAAGATATTTAAGCTGAAATGTGATAACAGTCACTAGATATTGAAAAATTTTGGCCAAAATTTTCCAGAAGGTATCTCCAGCTTCAGAAAATCAATAATGTTTAAGCTTTAGTTTCTTTAATTTTAAAATAAAACATTAATTTTCAAATGAATGCATACTTTGTTAGTTCAAAAAAAAGAGAGAGAATTTGAATGAACGGATCTATTAAAGTGGGGACTCTACAAAAACGGATCCAAGTTCAAAAATCATGATTGTTATATAAACTGTATTGTATGGTATCGTTTAATTTAAATTTTAGGTAACAATTTAGAAGGTTTCATTTTATGTAATGTCCATTTGGTGTCATCGCGTGTTAATCTCATTTTATCTTTACTTATTATTTGACTAGTGAAATTATTCGCGCTTCGCGCGATTATATAAAATATTTATAAGATAAAAATATGAAATATGTAATATTTAGGTTAGTATCGAATATATTAGATAATATTAATATTTCTCATCGTCTGCGATATCATAGACTTTTTTTAAACATATAAAATATATTTATTTATTTCGTATATATATATATATATATATGAACAAAATATTCACCGTGATGAAGTAAATGGAATAAGAAATAATTGAAATAACAATATATTGTATTAGGTTGAAAATATTTTATATGTTTTAATTTTCTATATCTTTTCTAGGAGTTAATGTTCTATCTTTTGTAGCAGTACTAGCGTTCTGTTCAATATCTGATTTCGTCAAAAAAAATTGATTTTTTTAATTTTAGTATTACATTTGCTTATTATAATTCTTTAAACATTAATTAAATATTTATAAGACTTACGAAAAATAAAACATATAAAAGTTATCAATAATATTTAATATCAAACGTTACAAGTAAGATGAAGAGACATAAGTTTTAAATAATTCAAATGTATAATTTTATTAGACAATAAATGTATTACTAATTATGTATTGATTTTATTTATAAAATTATTAAAAAAAAATAAGGGGTGAAAATACAAAAAATGAACAGAAAAAATATAATAATTGGTGACTACATAAAAATTATTCGAAGCAAAAAGAACGGTGACAGATTGTTACATACACAAAAAATGACATCATGAAAATAATATTTTATTTTTCAATTACTTTTCATAATTATAATAAAAGAAACTAATCATCATAAATTTTTTTGTTGTTGTTAAAATGAACTAATTATATTATTATTTTTCATAACAAAAAGAAAGTAGATACTAAAGGATCAAATGATTAGTGTTGACAATATAATACAGTTAACTAAATTATTTATATAAATCAAAATTCAAAATTCTCTAGTAAAAGTAACTAAGTTGTTAATATTATTCAAAGCGAAAAAATAATCTCTAATTATATTTTTTTTCCTTCTACCATTTTCCAATGCAAAGAGATTCATCATCATATATTGATTCATATGTCAAACTCTTCATTATATGCAACCAACTAAATTAAAAAAATCATACACCAATTAAAAATAATTATATCAAAAGAAAGAACGAAAATAAACTATACTTAAAATATTTGTATATTATCTTTTCAGTAGTACTAACAATACTAAGTGATAATTATTTTTTGAAATCTAAAAAATATTATAATCAAACAATATTAAATCTGGAAAACTAACTATTAGATAGAGAAATTGCAAACAGACATCACATTGTTAAGAATTACAGAGATTTTTTTAGTCATACTTACTTGATAAATTATAATACAAACATAAAAAAATAATTAAGAAAGCATGTCTAAGTACATAAAAATAAAAAGAAAGACTTTAGAATGAATTATATCTTACCTTCATATACTTTTTTTGGTTACATGTTAGTTAATTCACAAAAAAGTATGATGAAGAAGAGAAATTATAACTTTGTATGTGAATCTTCATGAAAATAAATATGAATTTATATAGACAAAATAAAGGAAATGGAAAAATAAGGACTTGAGAATGTTATATTTATTAACTTCATGCTTGTTTTTTTGTTACATGTTAGTTTCATTCATGTAATGACTTGTTAGTCGTTTTGAGCGGCAGATTTTATTTCTGGAAAAACTGGCTGGGACGACGGAACCCACGACGGACCGTCATGGGCACGACAGACCGTCGAGGGTGTCTCATTTCAAAACACTTAGAAATTCTGAAAAATGGGTACTGAAATCGACTCTCTGAACTTCGTGACGAAAGTGCAGGACGGACCGTCACAGGCATGACGGGCCGTCACAGGGTCTTAAATAAAAAGTGAGTCTCTGAACTCTGTGATGGAGCAGCAGGACGGACCGTCGCAGGCACGACGGCCCGTCACAGGCTGCGTAATCCCAGGCGAGGTCGGATTTCTTTAAATGTTTTAAGGGACGTTTTGGACTATTCCTGCTATAATTATAAATTTAGTGGGTTAATGTTAATAATTTAACTACTTGAGGGTTAAAAGAGATAACCTTGAATTAATTAAGGGGTTAATTCACCATCTTTTATACTTAATTATATGCTAATTAGGGTAAAAGAAAGAGGGTTTGAATAAGAAAAAGAAAAGAACAGAAAGAGAGAGAAAGAGGGGATCGAACGAGAAAGAGGAGAAACGGGAAGAAGAACAAAGCTTTGGGAAATTGCTTGCTTGATCAAAATTCTTCAATGGAGGTAGGTTATGATTTTTATGTTACTTGTAGTAAACTCTTAATAGCGAATGATATGTATTGGGTAGTGTTGTAAACCCTTCTATATGCTTAATTGTATGCTTGCATGAATGTGATTATATAATTGTGATAAAATAAGCATGATGAAGCTATTGAATCCTAAATCTTGAAAAAGAAACCCTAATCTACTTTGTTAATGATGATGCCTTGGTATAAAAGAAGGCTTGATGAACGAAAGTAGTGAGATTAGGG